CTCATCCTACATAACACGTTCAGATATCTGTATCTCCAAGATGTGTTTGGTAGAAGGCTGGATTCCTTGCTGGTTTCTGTAAGTTCTGATTACCACGGGAAACGTGTGGTCCATCTATAGCCCAGTACCTCAACAAAGAACAGTTAGACAGTGACTGCTTTTTCTGAGACCAAAAGATGATGTTTGACTCTCTCCACTCAAGAATAAAAGGTTCATTTATTTCCAGTGAAGTCCAATAAGTACCAAACTGGGTCATAGTGACTTTATCTTATTTTCCTACATGGCAAAAAATATCAACTGTGCTCTCCGCCGCAAATCAGCAAACAACCTAAGACAAACATATTTCCTTGAGTTCTTGTGACACAAAATCAAGAGAAGCACTTGGGAAACTCGAGGGCTGACAGTAGGCCATCAATCTTCAGCTCTTGGAGGATGAACTCATAACATTTTATTAGATGCTCCCACACAGGGAGCAAGCCTGCTCCTCGTCATCTACCAGCTCCAGCACAGGGCCTGCAGCAGACACTGCTGTTCTCCCCACCCCACTGTGTTTCCCCCTCCATCAGGGTTGTTACGGTTGTTCTTATGGGCTGGGCCCCTAATATCCCAGAGCTGACTTCCGAGGGGAACTGACGAACACTGCTTCTAGATGATTCCCCTCACGGAGCTCAGGAATAAAAACAAAAAACAAAAAAAAACAAAAACAGGTTTTGACATCAAATGAAAAGACAGACTGTCCTCTCCACCACTACCACCATGTTTGGGGGGAAAAAAAAACCATGTTCTAAAGAAAACATTGCAGAAGTCAGAGCAAAGGCCTGCATGAGATGCCCTGTGTAACTTCTCCGACTCCTAAAACCTCGGCTGCTTCCACATTTCATGTAAAAATGGTCTCCAGTGGATTGTCTCCACACTCAGCATACTTCCTTTCTGTAACTGTAAGAATACCTGGGACAAGTGTGACGGTAAATGCTATTATTTTTTATGACATTTAGAAATACCTTGGGGGGGTACTTCTGGGTGAGGGGTTCTCTGAACTGAAGTACTTGAGGTGGGAAGACTCACGCTAAATGCGGCTGGCACCATTTCATGGACTGAGGTTTGGTGTGGGAGAATTGTCTGTATTCCGTCAATCATGTTTTAAATAATCACTGATTGGCCAGGTGGGAAGTATAGGTGGGTCAACCAGACAGGAAGTAGAGGCAGGGCGATGAGAATAGGAGTATTCTGGGAAGAAGGAAGCTCTTCCCACATTCCTGCATAGACCAAGGAGAAGCAAGATGTAACCTGCCCCGCTGGAAAAGGTACTGAGCCACGTGGATAAAAATAATGGGTTAATATAATTTACAAGAGCTAATAAGAAGACTGAGCTAATGGGTCAATCAGTTTATAACCTAATGTAGACTCTGTGTGATTTTTTGGGGAGCTTGCTGGCTGTGGGGTACTGGGTGGGACAGATACCCCAACGAGCAGGTCTCTCATGTTACAGAGATTCCAGACCGAACAACAGTGAGAAAGGTAGCTAAGAGTCAGCACTTTTCACTCCTTGTTTTCTGACTGCAGACAGGATGTGATGTCATGTTCCTCACATGCCACGTCCTCCATGAGGAACTGCACTCTCAGACTGCAAGCAGAAATAAACCCGTCTCTCCTGAAGTTAGTCTTGCCAGGAGTCCTGTGGCAGCATGAGAAATTTAACACAATAATCAGTATACCAAGAAAGGGGTTGCTGGGACTCATGATTTTAAGGTATCTGCCTATCATCAATCAGGCAGGGCTATTGTTTTTAGGTTTCTGGAGATAGGCCGAGGCGTAGGGGTGACACATCACCGCAGGTATGTGCAGTGTGGTGAAGCTATTTATCTACGGGCCAGGAGGTCAAAAGAGAAAGAGGCTGAGACCTGTCCCGCTATCTCCTTCAGGAGCATGCCTTCAATGACCCAGAAGTCCTCCCTGCAGGACCCACCCCTTAAAGGTTCTAACAATGGCTAAGGATGAAACTTTCCAGTCAGGAGGCTTCAATGGGCATTCCACATGCAAATCATAGTTCATCTCTTAATCAACCATGCTGGAGATCCCTACTGCCAAAAGCAGGGTTTAAAGCAGCAGCGGTGTACAGAAACTGGTATAATCTAATAGAATTAATGGGGAATTATGTATTTGTCTAACAGTGTATCTGCCCAACAACAGTGCACTCTAGTTTCTAGAGAAGACATTATTTAAAAAAGCATCAAATCCCTGCGTTCAATAAAAATACCTGTGTCCAATAAGAGCCCTATGTAGATTGCGAAGATTTTTTTATTAATATTCCCTAAATATCCTTTCTTAAACTAGGTGGAATTTTATATTATTTTTCTAGCAGCCCAAAGCTCCCATTACACTGTAAGTTGCACATTGTAGGCCAATGAAAACTATTTAAATGGAAGGAAATACTACCCATTGGAAGTAATCACAGCTCTTGGACGAGCCATTTGTTCATAAGGCATAGTGGCAATATGTGCCTATTGTACCCTTTCCTAATAAGAGTCCAGAGAGCAGGCATTCACTCTGTTGCCCTGAGCTCAGCCCATATTTACTATACTAACCGTCCCACATTGCACATTCACGGGCAATTACCCAGATTCTCACAATGTCCACCCATTCTCCAGGGGAAAGGAAATCCAAACACAACACTAGGCGCCGAGTAATCATTCAACAAACACTGCCAATTGGCTGCTTAATTGACGGGAAACTGCTTTCCTCTGATCCAGCAAAGAAGGTACTCATTAGCACGGCGGGCCAAGGAATCACTAAACTTCAGTAAGGCTGGGATTCACTTTGCGTGCACTTTCATGGGCTTACCCACCTGCTAGAAACTGGCTTAGGTAGGAAAAACACCATATGTCTCAACTAGTGTTAAATAGTAAATTTGAAAGAAGAAATGGACATACAACATTTGGTCTGCTGTTAACTGTATGGTAATTGGATCACCATGGAATAAATTAGGAACTTTTATCCCAAGACAAAGGGGTCGTGTTTTTCACTTGGGTTTACCTTCAACTGTTCCATAGCAAACCAGCACCTGGTTCAGGACTGACATACAATATTTAATAGGTAATTGTTGAATGAATCTGTTGTTAGTGAATGAACCAAGCAACAAACCAATGTATTGAGCATAGTTTGTTCTTCAATAGCATTTTCATCCATACACAAATCTCCTCAGGGGTTAGTCACATGATTTTGGCATTGCAATGGTGCCCTGAGGGGGGAAAAAGTTTCACACCTAAAGCAGATATGACTTGTGACCCACAAGTGAAACGCAAACCCACCAGAAAAACAAGTACAGCTATCACATCCTGCAGACATAATAGGATGAAATGAATTTTTTATTTATGTGTAAGAGATTTTTTTACCACTGATGTCAGGCCTTCCTTACAGGTAAAACAAAAGAGATTAATGCCTGTCAAACTGGTATATGAATCTGTAGACCTTGGGTAAATATTAGCACAGTGCTCTTAAGATTTCTTTGCTTCCCTGTAAATGCCTCAGAAAATAAAAGTACGTTATTGTTTTATAATTCATGAGAAACACTAAATTTACCATAATCTTTAATCTCTCTGGATGTATGATTCTGGAACTGATGAGCCCGACTTTTTTTTTTTTTTTTTTTTTTGCTGGTTTCCAAGAATAATCACGGCCTGCCATGTTTGCTGTGAGCACACAGGAATCAGAGAGAAGTGCCACCAGGAAGATTTTGTCGATGTAAACAGTGAGGGACATTTCAGAGGTGGAGTCAAATGTGATGTACATGGTTAATCTTTGCAGGACCTGATTTCAAAGCCTGTGCCTGCCCGTGTGCAGTGCATTGGCTTTGCTGGGAAACTGCTTTTCTTTTCAACTATCAACACAGCTTCCTAATTGTCTTGCTATTAATTAGCTAATGATGCAGTGTAAGTGAGATCAAAGTATTCAAGATGAAAGGCAGATTTTTTTTTATTTAAAAGAGGAAAGAGGCTAATTAGCTTCCTATAGTCCATTATTTCATTTCTTCTTAGTGGATATAACAAGACAGAAATCAGAGTTGATCAAATAATCAGATAGGGAGAATTAGAAACCCCTTTTAGGTTGTTAAATGGCAACTAGAGAGTCTAAAGGGCACCTGCATTGAGGGTGGGGAATCCTACTCAGAGAGAGCAGGGACACAAGCTACCAAAGAGGGTCTTGAAAAAAGTTTAAGAGTTTCCTTGAATACGCTGTCCTTTCATGGTGAAGAGTTCAAGTCAGTGACAAAAGTCAGTCATTAATCACATTTCAAAGACATGGTGTGTGTGTGTGTGTGTGTGTGTGTGTGTGTGTGTGTGTGAGAGAGAGAGAGAGAGAGAGAGAGAGAGAGAGAGAGAGAGAGAGAGAGAGAGAGAG